CTAAAGAAGAACCAAGTTCCTTAACTTGGAGGTTGTATTTGTATGTTGCATGCCTTCAAATTATTCCTGACTTATGGTGATCATGGAGTTTTCTTGGCAAGATTCGCTCAGAGGAGGTTTGCCATTGCCTTCCCCTGAGGCTGAGAGTTTGTGCCTTGTCCAAGTTCACTCAGTGGGTTTCATGGCAGAATTGGGGATCAAACCCAGGTCTGCAGAGTGGTAATCAAATACTCAAACCACTACACCATGCTGGCTCCTATTCCCATGTACTACCTATGAAACGATTGCAGACTTTTGTGTTGTTCTTGTGTCCTTTCTGACTTATGGTGACCCTAAAGCAATCTTATCATATGGTTTTCTTGGCATGTTTCTTCAAATGGGGGTTGACAGTACCATCCTCTGAGGCTGAGAGTGTGTGACATGCCCAGGGTCACTTACTTGGCCGCAAATTGTACATACCCCAGAATGCATCACCTAGTATATTGGCAGTCCTTCCCCCCAACACTTTCTCATTTTCCTCCAACCATCTCATAGCTGGGAGATGGAAATAATTTTTAAAGCAGCATTTACATCTGGACTAATTTTTAAAAAGGAAGGTCCAAAACATACTGCAGAAATAAATGCTAGGGAACATGGGAGCTATAGTTTGTTGTGTTTATAAGTGACAGTTTTCCTGCTAAGTACCTGCATGTCATAAGCATTTGAATTAAAATTGCCTTAATTTGATTTTAAATTTTTTTTATTTGGTGTGCGTTGGAAGAGGGGTCATCTTATATGGTGAGTATATTCCAAACTCTATATTTTAACTGGAAAAGTTGGAGGTTGTCTTATATGCCCAGTTGTCTTATATGCCAGAAAATACGAAATTGATGAAATTTTGTTAGCATCATCATTGGTCCCTAAGTGCATGATGTTGAGAAAATCAGTTCATTGTGCCCTTTATTTTTTGTGACAGGTTGTGCCAGAAGTGACTAAAGTGAAATCCTCGTAAGGCGCAATCTGCAAACTTCTACAATAACGGTATTCGGAGGGTCAAGAAATACTGGGGGAAAAGTGTAAATCTGGAGGGTGACTATGCAGAGATAGGTTAACAACAAATCACAACAAACTTTCTGTCAATTTTTTTAAAAAGGTGATAATTAAAACTTTACAATACCACCTTGTATTTTAGGCAGAACCACCCTACCATTATTCAGAGTGAGGCAACAGCTTGGACATGAGAAGCTTGGATAAAAAACTGTTATAGGGTGTTCATTTTCTCATTCATATATTTCATGAGTGGAAGTCTTTCTACTACATACAATCCTGACATTTGGAATGAGGTAAAAGTGGTTTTAGAAACCAGGGAGTAAATACAGAATTACAAATACATTTACACACATTCACCAGAATCCTACTGATGTCTTACTACAGGAGGGACAGGGCATTTTGAGTGTGTCTACTCAAATGAATGCTTTGATTACAATTTGCAAATTTGCAAATTGTTGGTTCTGTCTTGCTGTGAACTTAAATAAATGTTTTCAGATTTATTTTTGTTTTGGGGAAATTTGAGGGCTTTTAAAAAAATGTTTGTTCCCTTCTCTTTCATTTTACTGCATTAATGTCATATCCATAGGCATATGGATCTGCCATGAAAAGGGAATAGGTTGACAGAGGGATAAATTGATATGGTGAAATAGCACTATGACTAAATAAATAAAGATCGAAGAAGGGTAGTAATCAGAAGGGGAGGCAAGACTGGGAACCAAACGGGCAGCAGCAGGAGGGGTTGCAGTTTATGGCTTTGTTTATTTCCTGTTGCAAGACACTGATGTAAATGAAGAACACCTTCCTTCTTGGGATAGATGAAATGATAATGGAGATGGAGAGCTGAGAAAAGGGGGAAAGTTTAAAGAATCACTTTGATCTAGATCAAAGACCATGGACCGCAGTTTGGGAAGGAGGGTCTGGAAGAGAGGAGTTCTTAAAGGGTAGACTGTTTGGGGTAAAATCAGATCTGACACAGCCAAGTCTGTGGTGAACTTCTGTCTCAAAATCCAAAATAAATCTTTAGTATTTTGCACTACAATACTGTCTTGGTTTTGAGATCCAAGTCCACCGAACATGACAATTGAAACTGCTCAGCTTGAGGCAGGCAGTGGCTCCCCCCCCCCCCCGCAGAATATTTCTGCATTAATTTTTTTCTGGGCTTGGGAAGAAGAATAAAAGATTCTTGGAATTTTGCCAATTTAAAACACTTTGTGACAGCTGAAAGAAGGAATATATCAGCTGAAAGAAGGAAACTATAAGCTATTTAGTTTAGGGTGCACTATCTGCCAAAATATCTAAGGCATCATGCAAAGGGATCTGGTAGCACCTTTGAGACTAACTGAAACAAAGAAGCTGGTAGGATGAGCTTTTGTAGACTTGTTTAATAAATTAGTTAAACCTACTCTTTAAAAATTGAGAATCCTCTCTAAGGGAAACAACCGAAGTGTCCCCCAGCTCTTATTTTAGCAAAATTAAAAACTGTAAATACATAATAAAATTAATTTTAAAAAGCTGCTTAAAAATGTAAGTGACCAGAAGCTTGATTTTTTAAGGTGCTGGTATGATTCCTGGAGCATTCTGGGGCTGGACAAATGGCCCCCAGATTCCAGAGATGGCTTACCCCAATCAAATGGTATGGCTGGCTATGGGTGAATCAGTGAGGAGTGAATTGGTGTTCCAGGCTACTATAGTCCATGGCTCACTGAGGAAATGGAGGTGGTCAGAAATGCTGAAGCTGAGGGAAGGGTGGTGGTAGTGGAAGGGGCATGGATGAAATGGAAGTGTGTGGAAAGCACTCACTCAAAGCTGGAGGGGTGAGATCAATATGGATAGTTGGGAAGGGGCAGAAGCTGTGAGATCTGGTATGTTACAGGACTTAGAACTTTGCCTGCTTTGCCAAAATGCTTTCAACTGGTATCCGGTTGCTTGCAGGTCAATGCTTGCCATGGTTTGAGGACATCAGCCAAGATTTATTCACCCTCTCATCATTGTGCTGAATGATAATGGATGAACAATGAGTGAGTGTAACTGTTAAAAACATTTTGAACTCTAGTTGCCTGAAACAAGATTGGTTTTCTGGTTTCCCGTATCAGAATGATAAATGTTTTTTTCTCACAGCAGTGAGTGACTTTCCGTGTGTGTTAGAGAGAGGAGGAGATGAATGCTGGCCCTGATTGGAACAGCATGTGCCAGCTTGAAGAAACAAAAGCTTTCCTCCCATTCTTTGCCAATCTCTATTCCTGACATTAATTTGATGGAAACACAAACATGTATATGGAAGGTCTTTTAATCCACCTCCTTCTTTTGAGGGTAATATGTTGCAAAGATATACTTATCTCTAAAATAGTCCCACAGTTGCAGTAAAGATTAATTTTGGCACAATGTTTTTTATTAAGGTTATCTAATCTTGTCTATAGTGTGCTATATGCACACAGGGGAGTCTCATAACCATCTGAGAAATGTTGAATTCATCCACATGGAAACCATCCTTTTTTCTTGCAGCATGCTTTGTTATGGAAAAAGTAGCAGTGCTATTACTACTAAATTCCCATATAGCATAGGAGGGCTCCCTGCATCCCCAATAGTTATTCCATTGAACGAGTCCATGGAAAAGCTCATGGATCTGATCATCTGCAGTATAGAAATGTGGTTTTTAAGGTGCTGGTATGACGTGGCATGCGGTCGCCACGTCCCAACTCTGTGTCAACGCTGCGCCAAGGGAGTGCCGTCATGCTGCCCACCGTCTGTTTGAGCAGGCAGCGTGAGGATGACATAGGGGCGGAGTCAGGGTGGCTGGCATGTGGTCGCCACATCCCAACTCCATCCCTAGGCCGGCCTTTTTGGGGTGTACTAGCCCTAAGTGTTTTAATTATATTTCTATCTGGGAGCTTAATTCCTTCTGATCCAACAATTTTACCCACTTTCATCGATAGCATAAAACATTTATTAATTGCAAATTTCAGTGAGATGTCTTGATGATGTATTCTTACAGTTCTTAGAATCACAGAGTAGAAAGGGATCATTGAGCCCAACTCCCTGATCAATGCAGGTTCTCTAGCTAAAACATCCCTAGTAGGTAGTTGTCCAGTCTCTTTTTGAAGATATCCAGAGAAGGAGACCCTACCACCTTCCATTGTTGAACCATTCTTACTTTCAAGAAGTTACTTCTAACATTCAATCAATATCCACCATGTGCATCCCCCCCCGAATCTTTTGCTTGCTCATTCATTTGGAGATTTAATGCACTCCCTCTCCCATCCCCATACATATACTGAAGATCACTGCACAAGTGAGCAAGCAAATGATGGCTGGGGAGGGAGAGGGAGTGTGTGAGATCTCCGCAAAAGTGAATGATCAAGGAGGTAGAGGGAAGTTTCTCTAAAATTAAAACAAGGATGACACAGTGCTGGGGGTGGGGATAGGGGAAGAGTACAAAGAGTAAAAACAAATGTGACACTCAGGCATGCGGGGGGGGGGCAGGGGGAAAAAGATGGAAGAGGCAGCCTGATCTTACCTCTTAACACTGATCTCATGGTTGAACATACAGTGAAGTAAGAAAACACAGTGACACATACTAGGCTTGCCAAACCTGTGTGTGGTGGAATGTTTTGCAGGAAAGAAATAGGCATCTTTGCCAAGAAATATCATTTCCAGCAGATAGGACTTTGCGGTGCAGAAATTGTTTCAATATTTTGATCCAGAATAGGATAACGTAGGTTTATCAGGATGGATGTGCTTGCACTTGTAATCTGACCCTTCAAGCTTTCCCATCTAGTTCACAAAGGCTTCTGGGAAGATCCAGCCCCTACCCTAATCCTGCTGTGATAAAATGGAGCTTGTGAGTTTGCCTTATTGCAACAGCACACATTACATGGTGTCAGGCATGGGATGGAATCGTCTTTATTGAATTTGGGAGTTTGTTCTAACTGGAGATATGGACTCATTCTGGCCTCCACCTCTTCTTGTTTTGCATGGTAACTTGGCTGAGAAGTGGAGGCAAACCTACAATCTGACTAGACTCCAAGACATTAGAACTTTTATTCCTTCTCGCACTCCAGCCATGCACTCTGGATTAGGTCTGAAAAATGCAGGAGCCTCAGTCCACTAAATACTACACAGGTGCAGCCAAAATGCAGCCACCTTAAAGGGAAATTACACCACACCTCCCTTTCATAGAACAGAAAAAGAAACAGGCCAATATATATATCATAACATATTTAAAAAT